ATAATTATTAAATTGTATGACTCATATGCACTTATAGTTATGAATAATATTTTTTATATTGTAAACAACCATGACAGAACAGTGCACAATATATATCATAGAATTTAATTGAAATTTTAAAATCATCCATATTCGGCAAAAATTTGGAATTAAATAAAGAATTTATCTCCGTATTTGATTTCATTACTACAGGTAAATATGTCATTACTAGAGCTGAAACAATGTATTTGTGTAAAAAAAGATCAAAATAGTCCAAATAATGGTTAGTCCAAATAATGGTTTTAATTGTACGGTTATATGCCAGTTTTCCTTAAAATGTTGTAGATAATTGCAAAACTGATAAGAATAGGTCATTGAATAGTAGGCCTAGAAAAGCTTGAAATCAGGAAAATGCAATACCATATTTAGGGGACAGAAACAAACAGCTAAATTTTCAGTTTTTTGCTAAAAGCATTGTACATAATAATACAAATATAGATATCCATCAGTATTCTTTAGGAGAAAAATTCTTTTAAATATATTCACTCATCATAAAATGAAAGAACTGCAGTACTTATTGAATAACCACAAGTAAAAATCTGATTAATGTTATGGAAAAAATTAGGATGTTGCCTTTTATTCTCTGAGGGATGATTGTGATGTGTTGTATTGTGTTTACGTTTATTTGTTTTGTAATCCACTTGATAGTTGATTAATTCTCTTTTTGGAATTCTTGTCTCCCATGTTATTTTTGCAAATCTATTTTTGAATTTCTACTTTTTTATTATGAGACAAATGTATGAAATTAAATGTTTTTTTAAAAAATCTGATTGAGAAATCTGAAATCCGTTTGAGTCAGATTTAGACCGCTGTCATCTAACTGAACATTACACTTTGGACTCTCTTACTTATTCAACATTGTGCTATCTTTGTTTATTTAAATTATGTATTATTGGTATAATTGTATATATCGAGTGCAACTTCAGTCATTTCTGTTCGCCGGCGCGGAAGATTCGTGTCAAAAGGAGGTTGTTGTGCAAGTATATTGATTTTTGTGTCACCAACTGGGTATAAGGTGTTAATTGGAGTTTGTATGCACAAAGTGATTCACGCAAGCAATGTACAAGAAGAGGAAACAGAGAGAGGTAAAAATCTTTATTGAGTACTGTATATTATTCCACATTCCCCTCAATTTTTCAAAATTATAAAAAAAATGTGGAGAAAATGAAAAAATTTATATTCAAATTTAAATCTGAGAGTGCCATTTCTGGCCATTTGGAGGTGCTATATTTATATATACCTCAACACCAACCATGGTGGGACTGAGGCGGTCTCCACCCTCTCTCTTTAAAAATCCCTTATTGGGCCCCATCTATTTCAAGTTTAATGCACCATTGAAATACATAGTATTAGTATATATTATTACAATTTTGGAGAAATTGTGTTGTATGGGTTAAAATCCAAAGGATTATAGTATTCCAGCCTGAACAGTAATCAGTGCATTTTAGGTTCAAATTCTGTTTGGGATAATTTTTTTCTCTTAAAAGAAATTTATGAAGAAAAAATGATGTTTCTGTTCCATCTATCTTACTACATCCAGGCATGAGCGAACCCCACTTGCCCAACGCCAGGACAAGTGTTTTTTACGGTCGGACAACAAGAATTTTAGGGACCACTTGTCCTGGACAAGCACTTTATAGAATAGGCTACTTCACCATGTACAGTAGTCCGACTCTTGACAATACGCAGCATATTTTATTAACAAATTGTCGGCGCACAAAGAAATACATTATCAAACAGAAAACTGACTATGCCATGGTAGGTACCACACTGCGTGCATCAACTTATAGTCGCCAACACTCCCGCGATTTATTGACGGTTTTAAAGAAAAAATGTAGGCCTACCCAATATAAAATTTGTTATTTTCTGCAGTAAAGATTGAAATTGAATTCTTTATTGTTAAATGTTAGTCAGATCTGTTGTATGTGTACACATTAGACCTACAGCACGTATTTTCCCACGATATCGTACATGTTAGCCGTCAGCCGCACGTGGTCTGTTTACATTATAAATTCGCACTGGTCTACTCTATAAATACCAGATTTAAAGACTTTGGGCACAACAGCCATTGGTTGATTAGTTGAGTTGGACGACATGAAAAATCATTCACTTCTAAGTGATGGAAATAATGTACATATAAAATCTAAATCTTGTAAAACTGGAATTAAAAATTGAGGATTTAGGGCCTATAAGTGAATCATTTTCCCATCTGAAAAATTTTGCCGTCTCGGAGATTCTCTAGAGGTAATTTTATTTATTTTGCAGCAATTCAAAAATACTGTATGATCCGATTTCCACGGATATTTTGCAGAAAACTGAGGCCTTGCTAATAGGAACACAAGTAATTACGATTCTGTGCATGTATTTTTCTAGAGGTTTTCCCCGTGCAATTTGAATTAGTTTTTTTGTATCCTCCACAAAAAACAAAAATACATTTGAAGTTAGTACTAGAGTTAATTGAGATCTGCAAACAGGTACAAACAATAGAACATATGATATGACCTCCCCCCCCCCCCAAATGACATCATAAAACACAGTCCTGTCAGCGTGTGGCTGGGAATCAACCATGTCTGAGAAATTTTTACTTGCAGTTGTCATGACGATGACTTTTAAACACATTGTAAGAAAACGATCAACGCATTCCTACATACATAGAATATTATTAATAATGTATTTTATTTGAATTTCTCCATATTATACATTATCGAAATTCTTGCAAATTAAAAAAGAAAGATAACATTTTTTGCATGATCAATGCAGTATGCATGTAGGCCAATTAATGTTGTAGTGCCATAGCAAAAAATGCATTATTTTTTGTTATTTTTTATGATTATTCCACAATAATATTGGGACAAGTAAAATTGTCTTCAGGAAAAGTGAATTTTTCAAAGGAACTTGTCCATGGACAAGTGAAAAAATATGAAATTCCCTCATGCCTGACCTCCTCCATATTCTGTTTTCATAGAATAATAAATTAATGTTTGGATTACTTGAGTCTGCTGACGTACACTACAGTCATATGTAAATCAAGCCGGATGCAGTTAAAATGTTTACCAGTTCACTAATATAGACATAAAGCACACTGATTATGATTAATGCAACCTTCAGTATAGCCTGTACTGTAGGCTATCCAAATTAATTCCATCTATCCATTCATTGTCATATTTATGCATAAATTTAATAATAATAAAATTATGGCTACATTTTCAATGGTTAGATGCTAATCATGAACAAACCAGACTTTTTCGGTTTTACTGCCTTTTTCTCTGATTAAGAAACAGTTCGCCCTTCAATTTGAGATTACATTTAGGACCTGAAAATGTGGGGTTCGGTCTCCGGGGTTCGGTCTCCAGGGCTAGTTAAAACTTACTTACGATTGCTGAAGTATAAAACTTTTCTTGTAGTCGTTTCAGTGTTTCAGATATTTCTTGTGGACATTTAGCAAGCGCACACACTAATGTTGCATTTTTAAGCCCTGACTTTTAAATGCCAGGACTTTTAATACCAGGACATTTAAAAACTATTCATTAATGAGTCATTTGTGTTTGAATATGTCACACATTTTACAGTATCCATCCATACATACACATCAAACTTGTTTTTCAAGAATAAAACCTGCATCGACTCTCAGCAAAATTTTCGAAATACTAAATTTGGAAGTCTTATGGTTCTGTTTTTAATACTGTAATAGAAAAATGCATTTAATAGATTAAGATACAGAGAAATGTTACTGCTTTAGGGTGAAAGATGAGAATGAAGTTAATTTGTATACTATAGATGATTTTGTACCATTACACTAGTCCCTATTCACACCTACCTACATATTCATTGACTGCTTGATTTCAGCCTATGGTTGTTTCTTACTATTAACCTTACTGGTTCTTATTGAGAAAGTAACTACTGAGTACCTGTAACTCTGCCAGATATCAGCCACTGGCTATTTTCTTTTAATAACTTCAGTTTTTGTTTTTGTTTACTTTGGGCTGTGGGTATAGCCAAAGCATGGGACCACCATGGACATGTTGGTATCTATTTCATTGGTTTACATTTTATATTTTAAAAATGATATTGGTAGGTATATCATTGTCAGTTGTGAATTCAGGCATTGTTTTTTATTCATTAAAATAAATCTTAGTTTTATTGTACGTTGTATAATTATAATCATAACAATTTTTTTTTTTTAGAATACATAGCTGATTGTGTAAAATAATTATTTATGTTTGATTCCTAAACAATTGTTGCTAAGTTTTTGTATCAGTATATCCTTTTCAGCAACATAAAAATTTACAAACAATAAAACCCATAAACAAAAACCGAAAGGTCCACTGATTAATCTCAGATAAGAAAGTATAATACATACTCCAAGTATTGAAATACACCATTCCTGATGATGACATAATTAATGTCGAAATATTGAATCCCAACACGATGGCGTGTATTTCAATACTTGGAGTATGTATCATAAACAAAAAGTTGTGCACTTACGATAAATTTCAAAAGTGAAATGAATACAATATATTACTGTCGAAATAGAATTTCGTCTGGTACCTATAGATGGACAAAAATCAAACAGATTCACCCACCACAGACAACCATGGCACCTACACAATATAAGTATTATGTTATTTCATAATACAAATATCATAGTCTCTATAAATCAGCTTTTATAAATCACATACAAATCAAAATGACCTTTCTCTTTTTATTAAAAGAAAGTACAAGTATTCATCTTAAATTTTATCATGAGCACAAAAACATGAGGGATTAATGTGGGCTCAATGACATATGGGACTATAACTCATTCATTTGCAAAGTTTAACAACTACACAGTAAACCTGAAGGGGCTTAAAAACATAACAACACGATTGATATTCGTCTTTCCTATTGGTCCATTGGGAAAGTGTGAAATGATTGACTGCGTTGAATCATTCAGTAAATATTTGCACGACTTCAGACCTACATGATTGTGAAGCTGGATTACAGTTTCATGCAAGTTCATAGGACTTTGCAATATTTAATAGTTGCCTGACTACCTGTACTGGACTGTGTTGTGATTTTTGTCATCTTACATTGGAAGTTGGTTCTGTTAGGCTAAGCTTAGCTTGCACCATTTTCATTCAGGATTGAGGGCAAGGATTAAGTAGGGTAAGCAATCTTAGCCATAGTATCTCCCAAAGCTGAGCAATTAATAACTGAGGGACAGCAGTGGCATATCAAGGATTTTGTGGGGGTACTGAATAGAAATATTCCATCTACTGAACTTGACCTAAGGCACAAAACTAGGAGTAGAGCATATCAGTGTCTACAGCTTGACAATACATTTTTTGGCTACTTTTAACTCAAAACAACTTGAATAGATTGTACAAGTAACAGATTTTTTAATAGTTCTTTCTAGGACAGGTCTTATATAGGCATCTAGGCATGGCATCATATTTTGTAGCCTGTTTACTTTGGAAGATTTCATCTTACAAAGTCTTTAGCTTATGACACATCCCATCATTTCTCAAACCAGATTTACTCTCACAATTTATAAGTGAGACGCAGGGGTGGCACCAGGATTTGCCCGACGGGGTTCAACGGTGCCCGACGGGGTTCAACGGTCCCCGATGGGCCAATGTCCCCGATGACAACAAGTGGGCGTGGCCAGGCGTCGCTCAAAAGCTCTTGAAGGTGTTCCAGAGACAAAACCCCCTGAAAATTTGACAATTAGGTGCTTCAAAAGCTTTTTTAATCGATTTTGGAGTGTACTAATATGTAGAAAGTACCTATATTTTTCTCCTGCCCAACGAATTGTGTGGTTTTCCTCCTGACAGGGGTACCTCTTCCCCCTTGGTGAGACGATAGCAAACTAAATGACAATATAACAATACTGCCTACCTGTGTCTTGTATCCAAAGGTGGTGTCCTTAGAACTTGGAAGGTATTTCCTTGGTGAAGGCAGATGTTGAGTGTATGAGTGCTATTCAGCTAGTACTTAGAACTTAAATGAGTAATGTTAATTATTAGGGAATGGCTCATTCCTGTGGTATATGACTAACACATACTTTAAATACCAGATGACATTAATTACCAATGCTGAGTGTTTCAGTGGGTGTGTTTCTACTAATAAACACAAAATAATCGATTTTTTTAAACCGCTTTTTTACCAGTACCAGTTGCGTTGCAACTGCATTTTTGATTTTTCGAAATTCGGTTTTCGTGAAGGAAATTACGTCACCATTTTGTTTATACAACACATTGTTTTCCTAACTGTATAGGATAGTATCTTTCTCATTCCTGTCATCATGATGACGAGGAGTAAGGTACGATGTGGGGCGAGAAGGCAAATGTTTTTTGGCTGTGCTCATAGGTACAATGAACGAGCGACTAAACAAGGACAAAGGCCCAATACCCTCCCCCCTCCCCGCATAAAATAATTACAAAACGAATTCGTCGCTCCACATGTTTGTTGACGTTTTTAGCTTGTAGGCCTAGGACATGAACAAGAGGACAATTTTTTTTTAAAGCTTATACGATCTAGTCTTTGCAGTGATTGACCAGGAGGTCACATTTCATCTGATAATCGCATTTTTTGTGTTGCAGCTAAAAGGTGCACAGCCAAAATCGGTTATTTGCCATTCAAACACGCTATCCATTGCGTGTTTTTAATCGATTTTTCAAACTGGTCCTGTTTCTACTGCAAGAATAAAAGCAATTTTTCGAAAAAGCGATTTTTAATCTATTATTTTTTTCCAGTAGAAACAGGCCCAATGTTACCCGAAAAAACTGTTGGAATGGCACCATATAAATGGAACAATTGATTGATTAATTGATTTATTGCTTGTTACAGCTGTAATGTGGCTGTTATTCGTGTTTAAAACACATTGAAAACCATGTGTAGTTTATAATATTTTGCTGTCATATGACAGCAAAATAGCTTGTTAAGTATGTAATTTTATATGACAATCACTGCTTTCTCCTCTCCAGGCTCCGAGTCAGTATGAGAAGTTCTCCATGAATTACAGTATACCATTTTGTTAAATTCATGGTGTGTAGACACAAATAATACACAAGACTACACTTAATTGTATATAATCAAGTAATTAATACAATTAAAGTAAATTTACTTTTGATTGTTTGTAGATGGCCACAGCGGTGCGAAGGTTTCATCTTCAACCCACCTCAACAGATGACAGTATTGCTTCCAATTTCACTCATCCAATGAGGATGACAAGCACCTCATCTTCACTTAACCGCCGTGAGTAAACCATCTGCAGTATTTAACTCTTATTGCATATCCCATAGGCAGATTCAAGGGCTGGGGGTGGGGGGTGCAGCTTTACAAGTCTTCCCTAAATGAAAATTGTATTCTATTTATGACTGAGTGTGCCCTTTCTAGCTACCCAGAGGTGCCATGTAATCATTAAATTTCTTATCTCAGTCTATTGTCTAGACCCTCTACCTCCTCTTTGCTCCTCTCTATTACAAATTCCTAGGTCCGCCAGTTCTTTAACCAATTTTCATATGGTCATTTCTGCTCTCCCTTATAAAATGAGTGTATCATTCAATGTTGATTTTTTTATCATTATTATTTAATATTATTCATTTATTATTCAGTATTGTTGCTATTGTTGGTATTGCTATTGGTATTAGTAAATTGTGTTATCATTTAAAGAATAATTTATAGAATTCAATAAATAGTTCAAGATATATTGAAATCAGATGAAATAATTTACTACCATAATGTAAAAATAATATCTTGTATACTGTATGAAGCATAATTTAAGTGTACTTTTACACCATCATATATGTGTTATTTATAGTTACAGTGTATACCCACTGAACATGATAAATTTAGAAAAGTAGATCTTGTAGCAAGATTTTTTAAGAAGCACAGTGATTCAATGCGGGCCTTTAAACAGGATTAAATATAATTAAAGCATCCAAAAATTTTGTAGCTATAGAAATTTAGTAGCATTTATTCTGACCATGTTGTTTTGACCGAGTCGTCTGTGGAGCAACAAAACAACAAAGTCTACAGAATTTAAATTTTAAAAAATTATGCAAGTCAAGTTTCATTGGCCATGATATTTTAACGTCAACAGATTTATATGCAGATCAATAACCACAGTGCCGTACAGTAGGTCAAGAAGATTTTATATTAGAAAATGTACAGGGATGAAGTTGCATTATCAAGGCCATAGTATTTTGATATAAATTGAGAAACAAACACAGCTACAGTGGAGTCCTTGATAAAATTTTAAGGATTTTCCAAAAATTATAATAAGTTATATACATTATAAAGGAGATTTTTTTTTAGATTTCAGCAAACCACATATCATTATTATATAACTGATAAATACATCAACAGGATTTTTAAAAGAATTTAATGAAATATCCAAGAGAAATCTGTCAAGCTGCTCATATCATCCTCCAATCACCCTCCTTGGACTGCTTTATATGATTTCAAGTGTAGAACATAAAATGAATCTAAAATATTATATTATTAATGAATCAATGCATCATCTACTGTAGGTATGCCAATAGCAGCTCAAAAATATATTACCCGTCTTTTTTGTAATATGAATTTTTAAAGAATGTATGGAATTAAAGGATAATAAGAACAGTAATTGAAATGTTTTTACTAGATTTAATCTTTTTATTCTCACAGCTGTTGAGGTGTGCATATTTTTGAAGACTGGTAACGTGTACGAGTTTACGTTGGATAGTGGCGGAATGGTTACAGCGGCAGCCCTGCAAGAGATGATGCTGGAGACGCTAGATCTATCGGAGGCTGCAGACGAGATATTCTATATTTGGCTTATCTCTCCTCTTCTCAGTAAGTCCTAATGCTTCTGTTATGCTGAGTAAATACACTAAAAATGGATTCAAATTTGGTAATAGTAGTGGCTGCATCAGGTCAAATATATTCACAGTTATTTATTTGTATAGTTTGTTGTAATAATCATAATATTTTTTTAAATAAATTTAATTAAAAATCATTTAGTGTTTAACCTGTTGACATGCTAATTAAAACCAGTGGCTTATTTACGGAGAACACCCCCTCCCCCCTTCCCCAAAAAACAAAAACAAAACAAAACAAACAAGAAAATTTGTTCATTTTCTCCCAGTGGAAATTTTCAAATAAAAAAAATTATGCTCAAGTACAGTAGGTAAAAATCTTATATCACCTTATTTTACAAGCTAACAACTCCTAACTTAAGTATTGATCTCTTCCACTTCACCTTTGCACCCCCTCTGCTCTTCCCTCTTTTTCAATGCTCCTAGAAACAGTACACCAATGATAATACTGTACACCATTGATGGCAACCACTTCAGCAACATTTATGGTTTAATACCTTTGTCTGTCTAATAATGCCTTTAACTACTTCCTTGTTTAAAGGTTTACCAGCCAAATTAAGATTCTGTGTGAAGAACGTAGGAACATAATATTTATGTGTCCGTTGAGGAGGAAATATCTCTCGTTCTAAATTTCAAAAATGAAAACTCAGATACGTAGATAATTTCAAATATTTCATTTTTATTCTTTGAATTTATAGCTCAACTTTGACAGTGTATATTTGAAACATAGTACATCTTTTATTTTATAGCTATTTATTTTTAACTGTATGAATTTATTATTTTTACCTTGAAGTTATTTTTTAACATTTATACTTAATTTGTAAAGCCCAAGGATGTGTAAATCTATAGATTAAATTTGATTTTTAAATATATTATAATGATATATTTGAATTTTGCAGATTATAATATGTGGATAAGCCATGATCCCTAAATTTCCAAATGAAAACCCAGATATGTAGATAAATTCAAATATTTAATTTTTATTCTTTGTGAATTTATAGCTCAACTGGGATAGTGTATATTTGAAACACAGTACAATTTTTAATTTACAAATGAATTTGGTTCCAACCTTGAAGTTGACTTGGTTTAGGTTGATTTAGATATTTATTTAACATTGATCTTAATTTGCTAAGCCCCAAGGGTGTCTAAATCAGATTAAATTTGATTTTTAAATACAGTATATTATAATAATGTATCTGAACTTTGGCAGACTACAGTACTACAAACCCTACTTATGCTAATTCTTCAGGAAGAGATGCACTTGGGTCTTTTTCCTGTTACCTAAATTTGGAAAAGCTCTCCATGGCCACAATTGGCTCTAAGCCAATTACAATCATTCATTCATGGATTTAAGATTTACAGAAATGATTGAAAGATCTTTTGAACTGTTACGAGTTGGTAATTTTTTTTTCTCAACCAAATTGCATATGGCATGGAATTGGGAGAAATTTACTTAATTTTAATACAAATACAAAGTTTTTCTATCTAAAAAATAGTTCCACTCTCTAAAGCCCCCAAATATGGAATTTATCTTGTAAAAATGCCTGAGAAAAATAAATAAAATACAGCCTTATTATTAGTTTGGGCTTGTACTGTAAGTTCACATTTGGGTCATATTTGTTCAGTATGTTTACTTACTGTATTTTCACCATTTGCATTACCAATGAGAACTGTGTATTGGGTGCTTTGTAAAGCACGGAATAAGATTGACCTGTGCACGCCTCACTTGTATGCGCATCTAGAAAACATCACATCCAACAGGGATGGTTGCACATTTCTATATTAATGTTAATGCATTTATTGACCAGGGTATTCAAGTGCCTTGGAGAATATTCAGTAGTATGCAATATAAATGTAATATTATTATTGCTTCTACATGAGTTTAGTTTTATTCCTCTGAATATTGTTTACGTTATTTATATATACCAACTGATCAGATATCTTATATTTAAGTGTTTTTTATGTAAACGATACTCCTTGCAATCTGGAAAATATTCAAATTTTATGAATTCCTTATTGAGTAGCATTAAGCATATTTAACAGGTGACCATGTAGTCAATTTCCTTCTTTGATATGCAGTGCAATAGCAATCAACAAACATATCAGTAATATTAAACATATGTAATTTATAATGCAATGTGGTTTATTTAGTATTTGTTTATCTTTCTTTTATAGAACTTCAGTTGAAACCCAATCATATTCCTTTAAAGCTATGCAGACAGTGGCACGAACTCTTGCAGAAATTTACAAATGCAACCAACGAACAAATTGCAGCTGGTAAACTTATTAATTTTTATTTTAAATTGAGAATATTGATGGAAATTTAGGTAGAATTACCTGAAAAAATGTGAATGATTTAGATTAGTACTGTATTTGTCTGGTGCTCAATTATTATCCACATGCAAGGAATACTATTTTATGTCATTGACTATTTTATTCAAATCTTAATGCATTTTATTTTGACACCGACAGTCTAGTTTCGATATTTGAAATTAGAACGTCATGTTTTACAAGCTCTTTGTGTTTTCGTTTTTTGTAATATCCTTTTCATCATTTTATAAGTACTCTTATTCACGTACATTTTAAACTCTTTGATGGTAAATAAAATTTGTCTGAATTTGAAAAAAAAAATATTCTGTTCAGTTACCTACATGATGTGATGTCATCATGACCATATTTAGGGATGTTATAAGTTTTTTGTCAAATGCAATTTGATAGTCTGGGCGGAGGTTACTTCTCAGGGAACGGAAGATTGTGCTCATTATACTGATTGTTTACATGTTAAATGTCTGGAATAATAATGAATAGCAGCATTAGCACCTATTGTTACCAACTACTGAACCTGAACAATGATCGCATGAAATGTGTATCAAAAAAGTAAATTCATACGGTATTTTAAAAAAATAACTAAAGTGACTCCAAGTATAGATAGTAAGGGCATATTAATTAACTTCACGCTTAAACTTTATTAAAATCCTGTCCAGACTATCAAATTTTATTTTTTAAAAAAAAATGGTAACATGCTTAAATATAGTCATGATGACATCACATCATGACATTATATTTAGGCACATCATATGACTATATTTGGGCATACAGCAGTTTTTTTTTGTCAACGAATATCTGACAATCTGGATACAGCGTTAGTCATGATGATACTTAATAAAATCGATAAAAATGTTAATGTGGCCTCACTTTATTTTCGATTTGTTTTTTTTTATTTGAACATAGTCTGTGCAACTTTTGCTTTAAATATTTTATTCTATATTTTTCTTACAGATGAACCTTGTGTGTATTTTCTGCGGAATGCATTCTATCCAAAACAGAAAGAATTACAGGTTTTTATCATAATTTGTCAGAATTAATTTTTATATTAATAACAAATTAATATTGAATGAGATGCTAATGATGTATCAGACGTCTTTCAAGAAGCTTTGCAAATTAGTAATTGATTACCTCCAGCTTGATGGACTTCCTTTGTTAATGATTCTTTAATGATGTGCTGTCTGCCAGTCACAAATTTAGGAGTATTGAAATAGGAGGGTGATGGGGTGGGGGGACTTTTCTGAGTTATTCAAAAATGTGGCTGCCTCTGAATTCTCTCTTGTGTTTCATTATTATGATTCAAGATTCAGTATTTCTTTATTGTGTATAAAAGGAGATTTCTAGTGGGAATATATTCATTTCAATAAATACAAACATACATATAAAAACAGAGGTTAGAATTTTAAAATACTAATATACAACACACACACACAACAATGATAGCAGTTACTTTCCAGGCCTCTTGATTTGGAATAAAATTTGACTTGGTTTAGTCATACATATAGTTTGAACGGAAATTTAACACTCTTCATAAATTTGAATTTTAGAATCAATTAGTGGTATTTTATCCCTAGTTAACACTAGAAATAAATATTTCTTAATGATTATATGGATGACATGGACATTAATTATAATTATACATCAATTCTGTAGTTACTTGCTACTAATAAATTAAATATTTTTTTAGTACAATTAATCTAGATAGGCATCGTCAATTACTTATTAATGATCACCATGGCAACATTGAAGTCATATGGATTTCCTATAAAATGTGCCTGGAAAAATTAATATTTTTACATTTTTTTCTGTGAAGACTTTTTCAGTGTTTGCCTATCTGTGTTTCAAAAATAAATTAGAAATATTTTGTGTTTTTTTTGTCGAAAGAGTAGTTTTCAAATTTGAAGTTAGCTTCTAATGCAAAACCCACAGTTTTACATTGCAAGGCTTAAAGCCCTGTCCAAACTATCAAATTTTATTTGACAAAAACATGTGACATGCCTAAATATGGTCATGATGACATCACACCATGACCATATATAGGCACATCATGACTATATATGGGCATACAACAGTTTTTTTTTGTCAGGGAAAATTTGTTAATCCATACCACCAAGCGTCTGATAATGCTTATTCAATTAATTCCTGACTTAATTAGTTGAGACTAATACAAATGTAAATATGTATTTATAGACTACTTCAATTAAAATATAGTAAAGTCGTAAAATGTTTTGAACGATTAGGGTCAGGGGTCGGATGGTCTTGGACTTGAAATGTGATATGTAGTATGCATTTTTTTAAATATTGCTTATTATAATGAGACAATGTCAAGTTAAATATATAAATTTCTTTTTGTGTTACAGTTAACAGACGACAAAATTTTAAGGCTTCTATTTTACGAAGCCAGGGAAAATGTATTAGAAGGCGTGTACGGATGTGAAAAAGATGAATATGAGTACTTGGCAGGAATTCTAGCGTATATAGAACACGGAAGGTTTGACCCAAAGAAGCACACGCCAATTTTCCTGAGGTTAGTTGAATTCAAATTTGTTATCCCTTCACATTTGTATGGTTTATGTTAAACTTTAAACATACATTGTCTGTAACTTTATTCTGTATAATATATTTGTTTTAACTGGGTTCACCCGACATATACATAAAATAGGGTATATTTGAAGGCTCTAGAAAAATATGTATGTTTACATACATACATGGCCTTCATAAGCAAGATTGTTAAGGCATGTGTATCGTTTACTGCAATGATAACGATACAATGGTTGTGTGTGAAGAATCAGCATAATAATATTAAAAACAACCGATAACGATCTTGTTTATTGTACAGATAATAATAGCTGGAAGGGGCGCATATTTTACAATGGACGTAACTCAATTCAAAAGCTGGTATAATGAACAGGATATTAGCAAACTATCAATGAAAGATACATTGTAACACGAATACAAAGGATACTATTCTGTGAAATACTTGATAAAAGCTTGTAACAAGATAGCATAATAAAATTTGTAATATATAAAAAGATATAAAAGTTCAATTACATTGTATTGTATATATTTACTATACAATCTGTTATTTAGCATAAGTGGTCACCATTTTCAAAATGATTAAAGAAAAACAAATACATCTCATATACAGTATGTCTTACAATGGCTCTAATCAAAACACAACCCTGGATGCAGTGTAGCGCAGCATCTATCCTCCAACAAGTACCCTGGATATTCTTGTGTAGACATATTAATGAGGAACTAAAATATTTTTCTTCAATATTTGATACAAAATCCTTGTGTAGACATATTAATGAGGAACTAAAATATTTTTCTTCAATATTTGATACAAAATTTTTCCTATTTTTTTTATATTATTATAATAGTGATACTTATTATCAATGTGCTGTACTGAATTCTAGAAATGGTCTCATATATTAGCATATTTTTACATAAAATTTTCTGAAAATTGAAAAAAAAATAATACTTTTACTATTCATATTTTATACAAACATTGAGGTAATATTTATATATTTATTTTGTTTCAGTCTTTCTATTGAAAATCTGCTGCCACTAAGGTTATGCAGACGAAGAAGTTGCATAATGTCACCAATAATTATATTGGCGCATATATATATATATAACATTGAGGTAATATTTATATATTTATTCTGTTTCAGTCTTTCTATTGAAAATCTGCTGCCCCCAAGGTTATGCAGGCAAAGAAGTCGCAAAGTGTCACCAAGAGCAAGTCAGAAGGTGTCCAAGACATTTGACGTTGAGACTAGAGTCTTAAGCCATTGGCAGAAAGTCTCCACAATAGTAAAATGCAAAGCAGACTGCAACAAGAGTTTTTTGGAGTTCTTATGGAAGATGCCAATTTATGGGTATGTTTGATTTGGGGGTTTGCCATACCAAAACCATCACCAGTGACTTTCTAATATATTCACATTCTCCACATTACACGCTTAAAAATGGTCATTTACTGGAAACAACCTATTATTGCCAAAGTTATGAGTAAAAGGCAATTCTATGCTGTCAGATAAGCTTAGACCCCCTGATATCGGACACCTGCCTAAAAATAATAATTTGCAGATCATACCAAAACTATTGTGATTGTTTTTTTACAAATTGTGGGACTCTTACTAGAGACTCACGGCTTGGTTCTGACCACAGAGTTCTGGATTAACTGTTGGATGAGAGAATTTTGATATCGTCTTCACAATGAAAGAAAGCTGATGACAAACATGAATATGATCAAAATTCAACATTCTCAGAAAAATTATTGTTCTTTGCAGGAGTGTGTTTTTCACAGGGGAAATAGAAGAACCTAACACAAGTAAAAGCATTGTTGGTCATAGTTATAAACTTGTATATGTTGGAATTAACAGAGATGGGGTATATCTTGTGGATCTACGCAAACAGGTGAGTTTCCTTCTTTGTGTTTGTTAACTAAAGGCATACATTATTGATCAATTAATATATGACTAAATGATTGATTTAATTTATTTAGTATCATGCATACACACAATGATAAGAACCAATAATAATCTAGAAAACAAAACAAAAACAAAGACACAAAGGATAACCCAAAATAGGTAAAAGATAGCTTAATACTGTATTTCCTTAATTTGCAAATAACAATTTGTTCATTTTGTAAACTTGGGAACCTTTTTAGTATCACACTATATGTCAATTGTGTATCTAAACATATTGCCAGGGGTAAGGGCACAGGTAAAATCAGGGTTACTAGTGGAGGGAATGATGTAGGTTTTAACTACTTGATAGTAATTATTTTGCTCATTTTTTTTTTTTTTTGGGTGGAGGAAAGTTGCATGAGAGGTGTAAAGTGTTTTTAAGGGACACCATTCACATCCCATGAGCACTGAGCTCAGTTATGCATTATAAACTGAAGTTGGATAGTCATTAAAAAAAATCCTGGTGTATTCGTAAGTTGGACCCAGGACTGTGGGATTAGAGGGCAAGCACCTAAACCACAACTGCACCTTCAGTATGATCTAAAGCCCTGTCCAGACTAAAATTTAATTTAACAAAAACATGTGACATAACTAAATACGGTCATGGTGACATTACATCATTACCATATATAGGCACATCATGACTATATATGGGCATACAACAGTTTTTTGTCAAGGAAAATTTGATATTACCTGGACAGAGCTTAATATTTTATTCTCCACCTTGTGTACCATTTTAAATTTATATTAAATTTCTGTTTGTTTTGTTTTTTTTTATTCAGGAACTTCTACTAGGTTTGTTATATGATGATTTATCCTGGGAGTACACGGAGCGAGATCAGAATGGTGAAGCTTCAGTGCCGTGTTTGTGGTTGGAGTTTGATGCAATGGAAAGCGGCAAGAAGGTCTCCAAATTATTACGAATATTTTCAAAGCAGGTAAATTTTTTGTTCAAACATTTTTTTAAAGAAAAGAATGCACTCCATAAACAAGGGTATGTTTTTGAAAACTGTACCCCAGTGTACTGGTCCGTACAGCCCCTGTTGTGGACAGACAAGAGTAGTTGGTACTAGTTTGCCGAGTAGCTCAGATTTGAGAAGACCCTTAGGGGGGAAGAAAGTCGGTAAAAGGAGTTAGTCCAGAGTGCATTGTATCTCTGGAAAATGCACTATATATATAATACCTTGCTATTACATTACATTAGGAGGTGAAAAAGAATACAACAGCGGTGATTACGACAAAGATAATGAAGATGATGATGATGTTGAAGATGGTGATGATAATGATGATTTTATTTTATAATACATCATTCCTGTCTTTATATAATATGAAAATAGATATTATTATATTCCCAAATGTTAGGCTCCTATGATGAATGGAATGATCCATGCATGTATAGAAGAGCTTAACAACCAAGACAAGGAAAGCTTAGCCCCTCCGCCGTAAGTAAATTACTATTTTCTTTACCTTCTTTCTATAGTCAACTAATTTCTTCTTAGTGTCCTCTTTATTCAATGGATAACTGCACATTGTTGCCTCTTAATAATATTAGTGGACAATACCTTAATTTATTAATACATGAATAATCGTCCTTAGTATAAATTTGAATTCAGACAATACTACTATAACTATCTCAGATGCTATGTATATAGCTTCTCTTGTGTGTCTTGTGTAGCAGTGTTTATTGTGAGTATATTATTATAAGCAATGCTTGTACCAGTGGAAATGTACTCCCTTCCTCCTGTTCCTTCCTTTGCATAATGTTATTAAAGTAAGTTACTATTACCACTCTTTTGGGAACTTTTGCAAATCTGTTTTTCCATTCCACTTCTTAACTAAGCCAACTGCCCTTCCAACTTTTGGATACTGGCACCAGCACTGCTTCTAAATAATAGTAGAATGTTTTCTGTGTTATTAATTCATATTAGCCAATAAATGTTATACTGTATAGTGTGTATATTGTTGTTACTAATAACTATAATAATAATTATCAAGTCATAGAAGGTTATGTAAAATAATTTTGCCTGAGACTAATGTATTAGAATTTAATACAAATGTTGTCATATGCTAAATGGAAAAAAATGTTTTTCTTTACATACTTTTTTTTGACTGTACATAGTGGCCATTTATGACTGTGGATATATAGTGGCCATTTGTTTTGTTAATCTAGATGAAGAACATGGTATTTTATTTGTTTAGCCTATGTTGTTTTCATGTAGTTCTCATTAACATTATTCCATGCGTTTAGATATGATACTGTAGATGGTTGCGACCTAGGTGTTGTAGAGGGTCCATGTACAGGGATCGAGAGGTACGGGATCACATTCATTTATACATATGCCACTTCATTCTCTTTTCACTTTTTATTTCTGCTTTCCAAATGCATAACCTCCCTCAATTTTTATATCTGTGCTTGTCAAGTGATGAACATTGAACTCTCCCAGAGCACTCTTTTACATTTAAAATATGCCCCAAATTGTAAATTATATTTTATTTGGCACCTGCACTGAAATTTATTGTAATTTTATTAAAATTGGAACTGTGTCCTAGTGGTTTAGTTAAAGAAACTTACTTTAACTTTCCATTTTCAATGTCTTGGTTTCTAAAACTCCAATTAATATACTGAACACAGCCAAACAAAAAATGTATTTTCTCCTGTTTTAGCAGTTTTACATTTTATTAACTATCATTCCTCCTAATTCTTCATCAACATCACTACTATATAAGGCTTGCCATGCCCAAACCAGCATCAGTGAAAATAAAAGGGAAATTTACTTTTACTAACTATTGCCACAGTAATAATAATGATGTTGACTTATAGAGCACATGTTATGTAGACCTCTATGCGTTTAACATAAAAATGAAAAAACGTACCAAGAAAGTATTACTTATTCTAACCGTATAGACAAACTAATCCTATTCCTTAAACTAAGCATGGTTTGGCCGTTGGCTCGGAGGTGCTCAACCATCATCCCCAGACAAGCTGGTTTGAGCATGGCAAACCTCATAATGACTTCTGATCTAATTAATGCCACTTTGTCATTGTCATTTTCAATAAATGACAAAAGTACTAGAACCATGACTAATAATATTTGGTGTTTTTTTTTTATAGTTTATACTAATTAAAATTACAAACAAAATTATTATAAAATTTGTAGAAAAATTATATTTTGACATAATTATTATTTTTACCTTTTTTACTATCATATATTATATTATCTTTTATTGTAATTAATTTTGCTATAAGACCAAACATATAAGCGTATGATACTGTATCATAGATTAAATGACAAAGATTTCAAAGAAATCCCATTGGACGATGATGATGATAATGATGAAGAAATCAAGGATGATAACCTAGAAGAAAACCGCAAAGAAATTATAGAAAATGAATTGAGGGCTCACACAACTAAAGTTAGGTTGTCGTCTGCTCCTCCCTGTTTTCAAAGGTATAGATGTCATGCTTGAATGAGTCCAGTACAAAATTATATATAAATGCATGTTGGCATCTACACCATGAATGGTGGAACTGAAAGTCTAAACAATTTTAGAAAAATATTAAAATTAAAAATAATTTTTAAAATTAATATATAAAATAAATATGTGCATGTTGAAGTAATTCTGCCTGCTCTTAAAGAATGCTCTTCAGAATAGATTAGGGCAACATCTTCTGAATTACTACAAAAGATCTTATAAACACAAGATAGCGCCCTCTGTGATTCTACGTGTAACAAATAGAAGCGTCAATGTTCAATAAAAAGGAACATAAAAAGTAATCACTTTTGAAAGAGGGCTTCCATGACTGTTATAGAATTTGCATGCAGATTCGCTATCTTTAGTTAACGATATCTGATGTCAAAGTTGAAAAGTAATCTCTTTTGCAAGAGAGCGCAGTACACTGCATTATTACAGAATTTGCACATGGAAATTGCGGAGAATGCTATCTTGTAATTATAAGATCTTAGTTACTACCCAGAAAGACCCCACTGAAAAAAGGGTTTTCAGATTTTCATGGGCTATTCTTGGTATTCTTTATGTCTATTTTTTGTGCATTCATGTCTATATGGTGCATGTATATGGAGCATTCTGCATTTTCTAACATCAAACATCATGCATGCCTTATTCCTGATCCAAATTGAATGCTAATTATCAATTAATTTATTTCACAAACATTAGCTTTGATAGTTGATCACAAGAAGTCTATAATAATTTAATTTTTTTGTCTATGCTTCTATTTTGCATAGCAGGCTTTTCGAATACATCTTACTCTAAGTTATATGTTTGTTATACAGTTGTCAAATCTTCTTTTATAATACTTTACTGGCAATACTGTCCTCATACACTTTTTTTGTATTTCACATTAAGTTTACTTTTTAACATAAATTTAATGAACGTTTACTTTTTTTTTATAATCAAAATCTTTTAGTTCAATTTAATTATGTTTCTTTACTAGTAAACTATATTTAATGAAGAACATATTATTTAATAAAATATACTAGAAATTAGCAAAAAATAATAATATAAATAATTGAAAGGGAAATATTTTGTTCATTAATGTGTTTTGTTTTTTTTAAAGTTTTATGTATAACACAATAACAATTGTTTTCATTAATGAGTTTTTCTACTTCCTGTTTGTCTAACCTTCGGCCTTCAGGTCTGAACATGAAACGCTTGAACGGGTTGCATGTGGTCTCTCGACCATATCAAGGTAGGGTAGCTAACAACAGACATTATTCTTAATGTGGAATGAAAGGATAATTATTAATCATTTATAATATTTTGGTGAAGAAAATAATTTATTTATTTATAATTTATTACTCTTTATTAGTATAAGTTATTAATCAGAGAAAAAAAAGTTTTTGTTCTTATATTGTTTTTATACTACCACATGTTTTAGCATAAAAGTATTGCAATGATATGAGCTCTTGAGAATCTCAACATATAATATGACACTTTTATTGTACATACTCTTCCTGAATATAATAGGCATCACCAAAGATTCCCTGACACGAGGTACCCTGACGAGAGCTCAAAGATCCCCAACAAAGGGTCCACACCAAACCTTAGCCACCCCATAGTGGAAGCAAATTTCAAGAATAGGCACCTCTGGCCAGAGACGGCCCTCTCCGACTGTGAAAATGCTTTTTTAAAATGTTGTTCTCTGATGAAATTTTTGTTTTTCTCTGGTGGATATTCAGGGTTTACTAGATGGGGGTTTTGTGCCTCCTGGAATCCTACTGGTACCACCACTGAATTATTTACGATATCATTAGACCGCTGAATCTGCAAAGTGGCTTTGATTTTTTACTATTACTCAGTACCTCTAATATTAGGTATTATTGAAATGTTTTATGATCCGAAATTTCAGAACACGAGCAACGACGGTGCAATCAAGACCTCCCCACCGACTAGGACTGGACACGGTAGATGGTGCGGGAATTACAAGGTTAGTTGGGCTAAAACATCCAGGTATATTAAAACTACAGTACCTTTTCCTATTTTATATCATTACTCTGTATTAAAAGAAAAATGTTTTTATATTCTATTTTTAATGGTGTTCTTAACATTCATTTATATTTTTTCGTATTACTATTTTATTTTCATTCCAGAGCCAAATCACTTGATGGAAGAAACAGAGGTAGGCATTTTCCTGGTGTTTTTTAAAGGAATTTCAAGTCAAATGCATGAATATACTTTTACTCGCAGTATGTTATTACCTCTGTGTGGTATTACCTTCTGGAGCTATCAATTGCACGATGACGGTAAAATGTAATGACATCACTAAAAGTCTTCTGCACATGCGAGAAGGTTAAGTTCTCGTCGCGTGTATTCTAGGCTAATTTGGCCAAATCTACGTATGCAGAGAATGTAGGACGCATGGTATGATGGTCATGCATGAGTAATTCCATTCTAGTGTCACATCGTCGCGTAAATCGTAAGCTCCCTATTACTGGTCGAACAATAATATTACCACAATAATTTACGCAGTGTGTTTGAACACGAGTAGGTAAAAGTGCCTTGCCCAAGCGCAGAAGTAAAATTCACAGGAGAGGTTTTAGCCTCTGACCTCAAGGTGGAGAGCATGAATCTTGTCCTCTGTGCCATTCACCAGGAACTACTCCTAAGATACACATACTGTGCTTGATCAAAGTGAAGTGGAGACGGTGCGATCGCACCCCCTTAAATTTTATGAAGATAAATTGTATTATATTGTTGATATAAATTATTGCTAAGATTTTTAAGGTATGAGAGTGTAGTTTCTAGGTCTATATTCTCAAAATGTGTGCACCTTACACCTCAACCCCAACCATGGTGGGCCTGAGGATGATTGGACTCTCACGCACCCCCTACCACCAAATCCTGCATCAGCCCCAGGTTAATATTATTATTATTTTTATTTTGTAGCATATATGACATTGCCAGCAAGGAAACCAAAGGTGACGCTGTGTAAGAAAATGGATAAACTTTGTCTTTCAACATTTTCCGAAACAGGTGTGTGTGTGTGTGAATACATATTTTATTCTGATTTTTTCATGTCAGTATGTACATTAAAAATGAGAGTAAATGAATTTTCTAAATTTTATGTGTAAAATCACACTGAATAATTTGTCAAGTACACAAATGATTCATTGGGAATCGAACCCAACACCTCCAGAGATTTAAGCCCAGCATGTTGAGTCCCCATGAATCATGAACCAGCGAGCCCCACTGGGGGTTCAAAGTGCTGGTAAACGGAGCTTTAATGCTGGTTTTTCTGCTGTTGGTTAGTCTGTAGGATATTTACTGTCTTCAGCTCAGTTACCATCACTCACCCTATCGGCGGCAGTTGCCGACAGCTGTCCAGAAAGTTGAACCTGGTTCAATTTGCCGATTTGCGAAATAGGGTGCATTGCTACCTGCCCTGATGTAATCGGGAAGGCACTCCAATTGCCTGCAACCTTCCCGACAACTGCCAGCGACTGTCGCGATAAGATACTATGGAAACCGAGCTTGAGTTTTCAAAACTTTTCTTTTCCGCTGTTTATTTTCACAACCACCTTTATTTGCTATATAAATCTTATTTATGTATCATACCACTAAACCAATAAGCTTACACTGGTGGCTAGGAAAGAATTTGATTTAATAGTGATATTGAAGTACCTGCTACAATGTGCAGATCAAATTTTAACCCCTTTGTGATGTTAAGTTGGACAAAATTACATTCTTGTTAAATTTTCATGACTAATAGTTCTGTTGTATAATAATAATAATGAAATTAATAGTAATATTAAGAATTTATAGCATGCCGGTATCCATTCCAAGGGAAAGGTCATGGTACGTTGACTTTTCCACACCCAAAATCAACATTTGTTAGCAAAAATGTTTTAGGTCCACACTTGAAGGATGTCAGACTCATTTTTTAGATCAGCTAGTAATCTGTTCCACAAAATTGGAGCGCAAATAGAAAGAGCACTGCTGAACTGAACTTCTTAACAGTCAGGAGTGACTTGTTGGCGGACCTTAGTGAAACACAACCAGGAGAATATAGCATTAACAAATCAGAGACAAAATAATACAGAATTCATAATGATTAAATGTTGTGTTTAATTTTTTGTTTTTTGTTTTTGTTTTGCAGGGGACATGATTACACGAAAACCCAAGTTAAGTCGACCATTTTCTATGACAGGGATATTCCATAAGTCCTAAAATTCAGGTGGTTTGTGAATTTTTGCAGATAAATGATGTAAACATGATTATGGTATTTGTCATATTATTATTATTATTATTATGGTATATGATCATATTTACATACAGGTGTTTGTAGGAGTTTTAGATGATCAAATTTGCATACAGGTGCATGTGTGAAAGGGATTTGAATAAATTCGAAACACAAGGAATGTTAGCTATGCAGGTATTTGAGTTTCTGAGGAAGAAATTTAAATATATGTGCAGAAATCTATTTTTTAATTGTTCTTTATTTAGTGTGATTTAATTTTTAATGAAGACATGGAAAATTCCTATAACCAATTCTGTAGTTATTGAATTCTGAGGAAGATTTTTATAGATTCTGGTGGCAATATTAATGTTCTGTTATAATTAATTTGTTGTTGGGTGTGTGTATGTGTATGGTGCGGTGTTTGTTGGTTTTAGTTTGTGTCTGTGTATGTGAGTGTTAGCCTTCAATTTACCAAATTATTTACATACCCACCATGTTACTTACTGAATATGTTCAATGTCTAAATAAGGTATGTAGTCAAATATTAAATATGTAAAATATCTAAATAAGGTACTTAGTTATGTACAGAATATGTAAAATATCTAAATAGGTGTCTGTATTAATTTACAAAATATCTACAATGAAGTCAGTATTTTCCCCCTGCTCAGTTAATAAAAACTCATAATAATAAGCAAAATATTAATAGTTAATTTTAAGCCTATAGACTGCCAGATATAAGCTATATAAGTGTTCCATAGTAAAATAATAGGTTCACTGTCACTTATTGGATATAGGTACTAAGATTTGAATATATACAATCTCTTAATAAGCACCCAGTCACTTATTCAAGATATACAGTCTATATAAATAGGTATTGAATTTCTAAATAAATATTTATTCATTTATTGATATCTAAATAGGTATCTTTTTGAATATGAACAATTTATAAATAGGTAACCCGTGATATATTGAATATTATATGGTTTATAAAATAAATTATATAATTATATCTGCTACAAAAGTTCTTGTGGAATTAAGAGTCAGACTTGAGGGAAACTTTCGCTGAAGATATTAGCTGAAAAGTTTGAATGAAGAGAGTTTTTGCGAGCAAGATAAATGATAAGGATTTAAATATTAGATACTTGTTTATTGATTTTTAAAAAATATTTGTATATTTGTTTTTGAATTCTGCAATATTGATATACAAATGAGAATGATTGTAAAGTTTGTCAAACAGTTTATAAGTACCTCAAAATTGATTTTCATGTAGCACTTTAAAAAATTAATATTCAGATTGCAGTTAAAACTATATTGAAAATGAAGCATGAAATGCACTAACCAGGGGTGGATCAAAAGGAAATATGGGTGGGACCATGCAACGTGCGAAGGACCAAGCCAGGGAGATGAGTGGGGTTGGTGTTGCAGGTTTGGTTTTTGAGATTTATTTTTTGAAATTTTTGACAATAGCCACTGATTTAAATAAAACCAAGCCCAGCCTAGCATAGTCTAGCCCACTTAATAATAGGTGAATAGCCACTGATTTACATTTTAAAAAATAGCTTGTTTTTAGAGTACTGTTTCCCTCTTCCTTCTTTCTTTTCATTTCTTCTCCCTTTTTTATCATTTATACATTTTGGTCTGTTTACTACAGTTTATGCTTAAGGAACTTTATCAGTACTGATAAAAGTCCTTTGTATGGTGTGGTCATTGAATAGAATTAATTAATTGAAATATAATACATAACAATCAATCAAAGGAATAATTATTTCTGTTGTCTTTCTTGACATCAAAATACAGAAAAAGTACTGAATTAGAAAAAAAGATTGGTTACTGGTTATTTGAAATTTACTCCTTTATCACCTATCTTATAAAGCAAACATTTATATTTCCTATATATCTACAGTCACGTATCCAGGAGTTGTTATGGCTCAATAACAATAACTGTTTCCCTTTATATTCTGTTTTACCCACAGTGCATTGCAGTAAACAAATTATGATCTAGATTATAATCGACAATTTTGTGTACAGGTAGTATCGTCCAACAAAGTTTTTAAAATTATGAATAATGTATGAAAATATATTAAATCGGCTCATGGATAAAGTAACAAATTTGTTGTTAAACATTATTTGTATATATTTGCATGCTGATGTAAATAATTATAAAACAAGTTCATTTATTAATACTTAAACATTATGGCTATGTAAATATTAAGACAGTCTACTGTATTTACAAATTCATCAAAAAGTAGGCATTACTTTAAGATATATATTTTTGTTTAAACTAATGATTATCAGGTACTGAGCGATTTTCACCAACATCCCACCAAACTTTGCAGAACAATGACTTACTCCAAGTATTGAAATACACGCCATCGTGTTGGGATTCAATATTTCGACATTAATTATGTCATCATCAGGAATGAGACATGATGACGATATTTAATGATGATGACATAATTAATGACATAATTAATGTCGAAATATTGAATCCCAACACGATGGCGTGTATTTCAATACTTGGAGTATGTATTATACTTTCTTATCTGAGATTAATCAGTGGACCTTTCGGTTAATGACTTACTCTTAACCCAGTAAAATCGGTTTGATTTTGTCAGGCTGTCTCAATAGAGTGTTTGATGGAATTTTACTCTTGTCTGGTAAAGTAGACAATGAAAGGCTCACAAAGTCTGTCAGAAAGAAGGAATGCATTATCATGATTGCTGTCAGTTTAATTGTAATTAACATTGTCATTGCAATTGTCATTCTCATTGTTGTCATTTTCATTTGTCAGATATTGAATGATCAATTTTGAGCTTGACAGACAAAATATCTGATATTCTTGGTGATTTTGACTTAACAAATTTAATTTTAAAAAATCATATTTTGTTTATTATTCCCCTTTTCATTTTTTCATTGTTATATTATTCTTTACGTGATTGGTTAATATAATAGTACATTTTTTGTTTTTATTTACTTGCCAAAGATTTTATTTACTGTATGTTATAATTCCATATATGGAAATTCTACAAACTAATCGTCTGTGAATGTTTAAGAAACTACAGAAGGTTCTAATTAGGACCAAGATGAATTTAATAATTGATCAATCCACAGAATTTATGAATAAGCCAGAAATATTTTTTAAAGTTTTGGTGTGCCTGACTTATACCAATTATAGACATACAATGGAGCATTTCAGAATGTTAATTAAGTTACCAACTGTCCAATGAGAACCGGGACAGAAGTACAAACTTGTCCTACCATGGAGAAAATATATTTTCGCAACACTGTACTCATCTTTTTCAGAAATATTTTCGGTCACCAATTACATATATGTGTACTGTGTATATTTTTGAAGTGTAAGTGGATATAACAGGGTCTTAATTTTGACATTCCAATATCGTAATTGATAATGTATTATAGATAACACCTACAAATGGTCTAATAATATGGTGTGCTGACCAATTGATTATTTATTTGTTAAAATTGTGAATAATTCTTAATTATTAGCATTTGTTGGGAGGTTATTTTTTCCCTTGTCTATGTGTTTTATCGGTTTTTGTGTGGTTATTATTAAATTGACGTTTACAGGTTATTACTGTTGACACATAGCGGGCCAATAATACAGTATGGAGCTTTCAATTGCACGACGCGGTAGGACGTAGAACGTAATAATGTCACCAAGAAGTCATCTACGCATACGAGAACGTCAAGTTCTTGTCGTTTGACCAATTCTACGTTGTGCAGAGAACGTGGACGTTCACGCATGAGTGAATCCGTTCCTGCGTCAAACGGTCAAAACGTCGTCGCGTAAATCGAGAGCTCCCTAATTATAAATCAGTGGCCTATTGCTGACATTATATTCAAAAGTTTATGTGTGCTTCACAAAACATATCCATATAATCTCACATTTGTAAAGAAAACTTTGATGATCTGTAAATATGTCTTGGCTGAATATGAATCTGGATACAAATCATGGACCAATTGCTATGTTATTCTTAGAACCAATTATAATAATTACAAACGATTGGTGTTTGATATGTTCAAAGACTCGTTTAGTGGTTGTAGTGTGAATTTATCTAAAGTATCTTTTGACGATTTATATACCAATTATTGCTGTGGTGGATATTTGCACTTTGACTTTTAAAAACCCAATGAAAATCAACAGCAAATACTTAGTTCAAATGGTACAGTTCAAAAAGCATCCGCTGTCGACTCAAAACTAATGGTAGGAGCCTACTCTGTGGTTTTGTAAAGTAAAATTACTTTTATTCTCTCATTGTGCAATTCAACTTTAATAAATTAAACATACGGTAAACTAATTTTTGTTGTGTGAGAATTATTTCAGTACTCGGATTTCTATTCGGTGTTTGCGTATGTTTTTACACTGCTGTTTTGCGGGATTTTAGCAACACTATCCAAGGCGCGGGGCTTAGCGGAAAGTTTGTGACTGGAATGCTGGATAATTTAAAGACACATGACTACAGGATATAATGGAGCTATATCATTTAACTACATGTAACTTGTAATTAGGCAAAATTGTTCTGTAGTTCTAGACCTATATGTTGTTGCAAATCTAACTCCACCTACGATTGACTAGTAAAAAACAAATGCCAATACTTCCCCAGTCTATGTACTTTTATTAACCAATACAGTGATATAATTGATTGCACTGATGTTAAATAACTTTCGATAAACACTGAACTGTTTCATCCATGGCACTATATAACAACCGAGCTGGTGCTGCGAAAGTTTAAATAATATTCCATTGAATCCTCGTTACGGACACGTTGTTCACAATACGGTACAGTATTGTATTATAAAGCCGGGCGCACATCACTGCGCCCGAAGATCGTGGGCGCTTGACAGAATTGATCATTTTGACAATTCGCTCTGCCATCGACAGGACATCAGGAGATGTTGTCGCGTAGTCGGTGATGGATTCGTCGGACGTCCGACGCAGTGTGGTGTGTGCAGTTTTGCATACAGTACCACGCAAAAGAAACTCAGTATGTTAACTGACCTTTGAGAACTTTTACAATGCAAGGAGGAAAACCCAAGGGAGTAGCCTCCAGCCTCATACTGCAGCTTAGTAGAGCGACTGGGCTAAGGACGGAGGATCTTGGTACCTGATCGCGGTGAAAATAAGTCGTTGTCCTCAATAGTCATATCCAACTAATGAGTGGGTTGGAGTACAACATATCAAATTTACGTTTTTAAAATAACCTTTCGCTTTCTTGATACTCATATCCTTTTCATCGTATATATATTGCATATGACTATATATATATATATAATACATAAATAATAAATTTAGTGTTTCAAGTCTACCAAGTCAATCTTATTGTCTTTACTTTTGAGTTGTATTTCGACGAAACACACGTGGACTTATCAGTATGCTTTATAATATACATATATATAGTTGGCTTAATGTGAAATAACAATAAGCCATCTTGTGGTAATGCTATGTAATTAAACATTTCGGAAAATATTATTAATGAAGATTTATGGAATGCAACAGAAAGGGAATATACTAACGGCTTTTTGGCCATTAGGCCTATCTAGAATCTGTCTCTTATACACATCTATATATATATATATATTTGTTGAAACTTACCAAAACCAAAGACAAAAATATTTTCTTCAAGTTATTAAAAAAAAGTAATACGATGTAATTTCTTAATAGCTAACATATTTTTAATTTAAATCAGAAGAATTATTATGATAAAAGCGGGAAACATTTGATAGATTGGTGACGTCATAATTTAATATACAGAAGAAGAGAGCAATCTACCACACCCAAGGTATTCCATTTGGCCAGAACGTAAAAATCTGAAATGATAAGCATACAACAGCAAGTAAAATATTAAGTACCGGTACTCGAAACCACAGTGTGGTAGGCTAGATGACACTATGGACCTTTCCGATAAGCCCAGGCCCTCGGATATTGTTGCCAAGGTCCAACAAAACGACGTGCGTTCGTGGGAGAACACGTGTGGTGGGCCAAGCGCGTATTCATTGCCGTGTTCTGATTGGCCAGTTGTTAAGTTTGACACGCCGGAAAGGTCCATTCCATTGTAGGCCTATACTACAGTATATTATCTTCTGAAAAACTGAAGGGTGAACTCATCTTCAAGAGGTGTGGTTTAGCAGTGATATGAGGTGCCAATGGCTATGAGGCCACGAGGTCCCTGCCTTAGTCAGAAATGGAATGTCCTTTTAGATCCACTTCTACACATAATCGTTTTGTAATATTGGAAATAGAATTATGACATTTCCGACAACCACTCATTTCCATCTCCAATATGTACGAAGAGAATCGGCTGCCCGAGCCACGTACATTGATCATGTGGGCATACTCTTCAAATATTAAATGAACTAATGGTGTACCAGACTTGTTCATTTAATGTTTTGATCTCAACGTACATCCGCATAAAAATATATGATAAAACATAAAGCCTAAGTGATATTTATGTATACTAGACATCGGAACACAATCTAAAACATACTTTGTAGTAATACATGTTAATCAAATGTAGTGTATTCAGTAATATGAAGGTAGCCTGACAAATGATAGGATAAAATTGGTTCTTTGATAATCCTTACATTATACTTCAGTAGTGCCGACATCGTTCGATGTGTCCTCATCGTTCAATGTGTCCACATCGTCATCTCCAGGAAGCAATGGTTGATTGATACTGTTTGGTACGCATCTCGTATAGTGACATCGCAGCTGCGTACACCCACCAGCTTTGCAAACCTCTGCATCAGTACATCCCTTATCCAGGAGGTCACCACAAACACCATTTTGTATCTCTAAAAGTTGTTCAGGACTCACAGTATATGTTCCCTAATGGTATAAAAGTAATAAATACTAACTAATTCTGTTTCTTTTTCAAGACATTTTTCCAGCCGGAAAAATCAGTAGGGATTGGGGACCCCTCTCACTTTAATTTTTATTGGAGAACTTCATATCATTTGTACTCTCTCAAAACTCAGTAGCCTTATCACATAAGGATCCCAAGAAAATAATCCTGCATACAACCACTCAAATACAAAAATTAAATACCGTAGTAGGCGTATTACCGGTAAGTGATTTGAAAATACTATGAAAAGAAAATTGAGCTCATGCTCATGAGATTTTTAGGATAGGTTTTCAAAGACGATACCCGGGACTAATTCACTTTTCCCTGATGCAACACAAAACATCTCTTGTGACCTGTAGACCACAGTAAAAACTCAGTTTTGATCTCACAGAGGGCCCTCCATGGCTACCAGGCTTAGTAATTCGTGCTAGTTTCACTCGCAAGTGTTCCCACTTTCTCCAATACTTTAATGCCGCCTGAAACAATGATCGATCTTTCATTAAATTATCGAAAGCAGCACTTAACTTCGAAGGTGTGTCACAATATCGATTGGGGCTTTTTGGACCGATCTGATGTATTCAACAGTAAAATTACGTGTAATAATATTTCTTTTCTTTAAATTTTGTTTGATTCGACAAGTAACTCGTGAAGATAATTTAGACGTTGTCCTGTTAAGGACAACTTAGACAGCGTCCGGCGGAGCCAGACGCGATTTATCGTCGGGGACAGTTTAGGTCGTCCTGAGAAAACATGTTTTATATTACGACACGAACACTCGGTCTCCGACGCAGACCTATCAGCGTTTAAAGCCTGGTGATTACTGTGCCCGACGGTCATTGGCCGACGCGATTCTATGTAAAACGCAACGCCACCTCGCTCCAGACACCCTATTGTTTTAATGACGATCTGCAGTTCAGACTGCCACCGACAATCAGCATGCAGATAACGTCGTGTTGTCTAGCGCTCACATTGAGCGGAGTTAGCTTCGCCATACGACGGTCGTACCGTCGTACGACCCAATGAGTGCTCGGCTTAACTCACAAACTCGCCGCAACAACAAATCCCGTCGGGATCCGTCGTCTTACGATGGCTGTTTGAGTTGGCCTTGTGCGAAGGTCAAACTTACGTTCATGAAGGCTGCGTGATCTTCAGCACTGACAACTGGCGCTGCCGGTCCTTCGTCAGTTTCGTTACTCCCTGCAGCGGAGATGACCAGAGTTGCTTCCTCAACAGGAATAGGAGTGGGTTCAGCGGCCTCAGTAGTAGTAGTAGTAGTATTCGGGAGGTCTACAATGACTTCTGGTAGGCCCTACATACGATTAAAGTATAGAAAGGAACAGTTGTTGCTAATCATAGGCCTATAATTCGTCTTCATGACGACGACGATGATAATTTGATGATGATGAATATAAAGATTATGATGATTATGATGAAAATGATGATGATGATGTTGATGATTATGATGGATGATGATGATGATGATTAACATGTTGACCACGACAAATCCGTTGTAATGATGATGTCCATTATTTTTATTTTATAATATAATTACAGGTCCCTAATTAAAAACCCCTCCAATTATATACCACTTTTCTGTTAGTCCCAAATTAATAAAAATGTCTTTAATCTTAATACAAAAAAACAAATGAAAAAATACCATCATTAAGAAGATGGTAATGTTAATGCTGATGATAATGATTGCGAGGGGGATGATAATGATGCTGATGATGAGGAAGATAAACAGAATGATGTTGATGATGATGAAGATGATGACTCAGTTAATCATCAAGCCCCCACCCCTACTCCACCTTCAAGACTCCTAGCTACGACACTGACTGCGGCTGCCTCGGATCCCCAGGGTCCCAAGAAACATTTTTAATTTCAAATACTGTATTTGGAATTGGAGAAAAAAGTATAATTTTATTCCATTTTATCGTTATGGCTATGGTTACGATTACGGTTGCAGCTAGTTATGTGGTTGCTGATGCAGTGTTACATGAAAGAATAAGGAAAGTCATATTAATTGTATATTGGAAAAATTGTTGGAAATATTGGAAAAGTTATTTTTATGACATGAGCAGTTACAATACGGTACACGTTTTTTATTAGGCTACCTGGGTTGGTTCAGATGCACCAGCCGTTCCATCGTCGTCTTCAACATACATACCAGCTTCCTCATCTATATATGATGGCTCTTCATCTTCCTCTGGATCCAAGACATCTGCATCTGGATCTTCTACTGCCACCTCGGATTCTCCATTAGCTTCTTCAAACTCGTTTTCTTCAGTTAATAAATCCTGAAGTTCTTGTACCACATTCTCATCTTCGAGTGGAGCCGTGGTCACCTAAGCGTTTGTTAAATTAAAAGAAGACTAATAAAATATTAGAGTGCCATTTTGCTATTGGCTCTACATGTTTTCCATTGAAACGTAGCCGGGCTGACAGAAAATTTGGATATTTTTTCTGGCTTTATTGAGTAATTCGACTTTTTAATTGTATTTTTATGTGTTCAAATTTTAAAGAATTTGCTAAAACCTGGATTTTTTAGTGATGAAACACACGACACTAATACTCGAACATCAAAATCAAATTTAGTTATGGAATGACGCCAAGAAAATCTCTATTACCCGACCGTGTGCTAGCTTGTCTCACCACCATATCACATATCTAATGGGCCTACAGTGTGCAGACAATTAATTATCTCCAAATTTTAACATCAATTGATGATTGAAAATTGGTAATAATATTATTTAACAATGTTTTAAGATGGGAGTTTCACATTTTATTTTTAAATGGACAGATATAGACAAAGAAATTCAGAATTATGCTGTCGGCTTTTGAAAGTTTATAGTTGAAACATGATTGAAATAAGAAAAATGACTTACGTGGTGTACAAAGAACAAGATACCGAGAATCAGTACACCCTTCGCCCTCATCTTTAAAAGTCGACTTACGTTCCCTTCCTCCACTACATAAATGATTGAAGGTTATAACAGTACCCGTCTCCATACTGCATTGATTTTCAATTTAGCTACATCGTCATCATGTTTTCATTACTTATTTCAACTCTTTCATAACTTTAGACAGTTCGAATTTTTTGCACCATTGTGTTTACTTTAGCGATTGTTCGGTATTTCGAAAGTTACTGTCAAAACAATTACTTATCCCCAGCCTTCGATCCAACCTATTATCGGATTGGGATTTTCAAATAACATACTATATATTGCATATACGCAGTGTTCTCCCGTAGCCGTTTTAGCTGTCAATTTCACTGGTAAAAATAACCGGCAGTTTAGTTTAGATTAGGCCGGCCCTCTTTCAATCTATTAACATCATTCCAGTCTATGTCTAGGCTATGAATATGTGTTGTCTCTTCAATTCACTAAACCCCACTCAAAAGGAGTAACGCCTCACACTGTATACATTGCTGAATTTTTATGGACATATTTACCAGTATTATTCAACTGGGAGAATTAACACCGATACGGTAACGAAATATAGGTCTGTGTTACCAAACGTTAGATGTATAGATGAGGACAAAACAACTATTGGGTTTCACATGGACGTAGATCCCCAAACAAAAAGGCAAAGCAAACCACCGGGAAATACAATAAACATGCCAAAAATAAAATGAGTAGTTTGAAAATCAAAAACTATAGACATATAGCTATGGCCAGGTATACGTTAAACTGCAGACTATTTTCAAAGTGCAGCCTCAACTGTTTGTAAGGTTGATCAAAGAGGGCGAAAAGTTTATCATTCGATATGGTTAAATGGTGATAGTGGGGGCCTTCTATAACGTGCCAAAAAAATCGCACAAAACAAGGATTCGAACCCGAGATCTCCTGCTGTCTGTCCTACTACTATGAAGTATACGTATTTGACTTATCAGAAACATTAAAACCCAATTATGTAAAAATATCACTTCAGATATTTTTTTCATGAATATATGAAATTGACTTGGCCTCGTTGAGGGGGACAGGCGGTATGATGATGATAATCAAATTGACCAGGCATCCTGTCTTTCAACCAAATTGTTGAGGTTCGAATCACACGCTTGCACATTCATGTTAGGCTCTGTCTCTTATACACATCTAGATGTGTATAAGAGACAGGGAAACGTTGCAGCAGCGTGTCGAACGTTAATGATTAGAAAGTACCGGTACGTTACACACTTTTTGTACACCAAACTGCAACGCTATTATAAAATAGGATTAACTCTCTTTTATGTATTTGCTTATATTTTTATAGTTTATCTTAAAATAGTTACATGCAAATGCATAAATAGATTAATAAGTAAGTAAGGACATGTTTCTTTTGAATAACGCCAAACACGTGTTTTTTTTAAACGGTTAAATGCCTTTAGAACTCGTTTCTAGTGAAAAGTGCAACTAATAATAAAACACGGTAACGCGAGGATTGGTAGGTGGGCGGAGCTTATAGACGATCACCTACGGAAATTGAAGTTGACCTTAATTCTTGTCAGCTACAGCGCTGCGAAAAAAGTAAACAACACACGTTGTATGGACAAAAATTATGGTAAGACTAACACATGTCATCCTGTTGGTTTCATTTTTTTCTTCGCCCCGTATTTCCCGCAAACGAACAATCGAACCAACAAAGAGGGTAACGAAATATAGGTCTGTTAGATGTAGAGATGAGGACAAAACAACTATTGGGTTTTACATGGACGTAGATCCCCAAACAAAAAGGCAAAGCAAACCACCGGGAAATACAATAAACATGCCAAAAACAAAATGAGTAGTTTGAAAATCAAAAACTAAATATAGCTATGGCCAGGTATACGTTAAACTGCAGACTATTTTCAAAGTGCAGCCTCAACTGTTTGTAAGGTTGATCAAAGAGGGCGAAAAGTTTATCATTCGATATGGTTAAATGGTGATAGTGGGGGCCTTCTATAACGTGCCAAAAAAAATCGCACGAAACAAGGATTCGAACCCGAGATCTCCTGCTGTCTGTCTTGCTACTGTGAAGTATATGTATTTGACTTATCAGAAACATTAAAACCCAATTATGTAAAAATATCACTTCAGATATATTCATAAATATATGAAATTGACTTGGCCTTGTTGAGGGGAACAGGCGGAATGGTGATGATAATCAAATTGACCAAGCATCCTGTCTTTCAACCACATTGTTGAGGTTCGAATCCCACGCTTGCACATTCATGTTAGGCTACAGCTACAGTACATTTGCCTCTAGTTCCCACGAGGTCACCAATTACTGTACAGTGTCACACCAGTATCATAGGCAAGACTTTTTATAACCTATTTTGCAAACCCTCCGACCGCCAATAATGGTGATTTCAAATAAAAATAATATATATATTTTTGGCCAGTTAGTTCACCCTCCTCCAAGAAAAATGGAAATATTAGAAAATATTTATATAACTTAATATATATATATATATATATATACAGTATATATATTTCTTTCACAATTTTCAATCTCATTACAACACTGTTCACATTTATCAATAATTTTTTTCCCTCTGCCTAGATGCGTTTGTAAAATAATGTGTCAAAAAAACACAAGTTCGCTAAACAAGGTATTAACAAATTCTTGCCTACATTGTACATTATGTATAATTGTTAGAGCAATTCAATTTTATGTACCTAAGCAAGACATACCCACACTTTAAAAAAACACAGTTTACTCCTTTTATAAAATACTTGATCATGCTTTATTCCTTAAATTAAACTGGGTGGCATTGGAAATAATAACAGATAACAAAACAAAAACTGTGCATGATTAGGCCAAAAAAAAAAAATTGTATTGGCCATGCCCGATCGACCCAAATTTTACGAAATTAAGGGTCAATTTACCCCCACCCCAAACATCAATATTTTTTATGAGGCGATTTAGGTGAGTAGGCCTAGGTCCAGTTCGGCAAATTAAAAAAATTCTAACAAAATTTTAAGGCAGACCTGAAACTCTTCCAATTGACCAGACTAGACATTGGTTGCCGTAAACACATTTTTGAAAAAATAAATAAATAAATTTCCTACCAGCCTACCCAATTTTTGGATTTTCCCAAAACATGGCCAACTCAATTTTTTTTTTTTTGGCTTTATAGTTGGTGAAAAATGTCAATAAAAAATAACCTTACAGAAGAAGATTAAATTAAAAAAATAATCTACTATACCCATTTCTCTGTATTCTGGTGAGAATCTCAGTTTAGACTTTACTGCTATAAAATAACTTACATGGATGAGAAGGGTGTTATTATTAATAAAGGATGAAAAACATTATTACATTATTATTAATATCTGTACAGAATAGCACCCAGTACCCAAATGTGATTATTTGTATTGGTCTAATATTTAATTTATGTCATAAAACGATAATTAGGGATATTTTCCATCAGTATTATAGAGCACACTATGAGAAATAATAATTTTGGTAATATAGAAACCAAATTAAACAACTTTATATTCTTTTTGTGGGTTTTCTTAAATGCTGCTGGATGGAACAAATGTTTGATATTAAGAAATGCATATCAATTATCAACATAACATATGCAATATTTTATTTCTGCACATTTGATCTTTCTTTTATTTAATTTTTTAATTTTTTTCTCTTAAAAATAGGTACTACACACATGGTAAAATTAAAAATTGGTTACACAAATAAAATAGTATTAATAGTAATATTATATTACTTTAAAAGATATTCATAATAAATAATAGCCAATACGTATATAAAAATAATAAATAAGATTAATAAACAATTTCTTTATGTAAATCTTGTTTAGTGAATTCCTTCAGAGAAGGGACAAAATTTAACTAAAATTATTAGTATTGGCAGGCAGCAGGTTCACAAAGAATGTATGTATAATGAAAGTCTTGATTCAAATCCAATCATTAATACTTCCATTATTATAAACCCAACACTAAGAATTAAAAGGGGGGGCAATACATCTTTAACACATTCACTGCGATACAATGACAATTTTCAATCATTTAAAAATTTAATGGATTATAATTATAAAGAAATAATAAAGAAACAAATTGAAAATTACAAAATCAATACATCTTTAACACATTCCCTGTGAGACAATAATGACAATTTTCCAACATTTAAAAATTCAAATGATTATATTTTATAAAGAAATAATAAAGAAACAAATTGAAATTTACAAAATCATTGTCATAATCAAATGAACTTTTGAAATTCTTTTAAAAATTAGGATATTTCTTGGTAAGTTCATTCTCAATTATTCGTATGAATTAATATGTATCTCTACATTTAGTAAATATGGGGCTTGCCATGCCAAAACCAGCTTCAGTGACCAAAACAAAACAAAAAATGAATTCTTAATATATTAATATTTTCCATATCATAAGCTTTAAAATGATAGGTCATTTAATGGAATTGCCTTACTATTGCCAAAACTATGAGTAAAAGTAAATTACAGCTTCTCTATACTGAAGTATACAATACTTCCACACTCTTATGCCAATTACTCAGTTTAACATTTAGCGGCAGTACGCTGTTTTGGTATCGCAAGGCTCATATACAACATTGTCATGTTTCTGTATGGTACTATATTTTCCATATAAATTTGAAAATGTATCTTAAGCTTCATGTTGCCTTTGATGTTTTTCCTTTATCTTTCTTCGGTTTATGTACTTTCTTTAAATTGTCCATATTTGCCTTCAATACACTTGCATATGCCTATAAAAATGATATATATAATAAAATACATAAAGAATATAATACAGCAATAGGGATTGCCTTCAATACACTTGCATATGCCTATAAAAAAGATATACTGTATATAATAAAATACATAAAGAATATAATACAGCAATAGGGAGATCTCCATATAATCAATAAAAACTATTCACAGAAACCTAGGTAAAGTATATTATTATGATAGAGACTATAGCAAAGAATAACAACATGGCGGGCAAAACCAGGGACCCAGGCGCCCCCTACTTTTTGGCAGAAAATATATAATGCATATGCAGATTTTTGTATGATTGGAAAGAAAAGCTAGTGGGCCCCCATCACTTTGAAAAACGTTCCGCTGGCCCTGAACAACAATATACCAGCTGTTCTATTTCCTGAGGTTCAAACCACCCATTCTTTTACAATAGACCTCCTATGTCAAATTATTGATTAGCAGTGATTGAAAATATTGATTGTTATTGGGTGACACATTTGGACATCACACCCAATAACGGATGAGTTATGGACAAATAGGACTCTGAGTTTGATAATTGGTGGATGTGTTTATCCAGTCATGTGATAATTTATGACAAAAGTAAAGGGAGTTACCACTGTAACAGGAGGACTATACAAAGTGGTCAAATTATTTTGTCCATTTTTATACCTCCATGGTCCATGGTAGTAGTTTCAGGGTCACATTAATTGTGGTGACATTCCTTTTTTTTTTAATACAGCCTTCAACGAGTGAAATGTATGAATTCAATACATCAAGCATGAAATTTATGAAACACTAAAGAAAACGTTTTAATCAAAAAATGATATTTAAAAATTTGAAACATCATTTCATTGGCAGTTTAGAATAAATTCAAAATACTTTTTAAAAATAAACTTACCAATTGGAATTTATTCATATCTTTCGCGCTAACCTGAAAAATTAACAAAATACCATGTAACAAAATTTATTACATTTCAGAGTACGGTAAATGTATATACGCCTAGTGTTTGGAGTATATTTTTGCACAATTAAAAGGAAATGAATAAATAACTCTCAATTTACTTACAACTGTACTTAATTTCTTGTTCCTACATGTTGCCCTCACAAGGCATTTGTGTTCCGATGATTCTGATACAGAAACGGATTGTCGATCCTTAGAAGCTTTTGGTATAGGCTTTGTCCTACCATTATCTAAAAAAAATTAAACAATAAAATACATGAGACCAACCAGAAGACAGTACAGTATATTGTTTATTGATTCCTTCATATATTTTATTTTGTACTACCATACATATATTATAGCCTTGATAAAAGAATGTTCTGTTACTTTAGCATAATCATACAGGACCAACATCATAACACTTTTACAAAGAAATTTTTTTATACACAAACGTTAAAAAAAAACATAATTTAATCAAGGCTAGGCCTAGGTATCTTTTATTTAATATTATTCTTTTTTGTTTTCGTTTGTATTCAAAAACAGTATTGTTGTTCATTTTTTTTCTATCGCCAGTGTTGTAATGCTGTTACTGTCAATGTTAGGTTCCCGCCCAAACTTGTGTGTTTTTATCAGCAAGCTTAGTTAACATATAACATCTAACATTGTTCCCCACAGAAAAAGAAAGAAATGTCAAGAAAAAAAGATCCGGGCCATCTATAGGTGTTTGTTCAAAATAATGTAATGCAAGTGTTTTTTAGAGTCAGATAGATCATCTTATTGAACTTCAACACTATTGTATTTATTATCATGATGGCCTTGTTCCTTTTGTATTGTATCAATCATATAAACAAAAACATGACTTTTATGTAGCAATAAAAATTGAATTGAGACACTAGTGATTTGTTGGTTTGTTGTATTTTTAGGCAGACAGTACTTAGTGCTATTATTTAAATAATATTTCAAAGTAGGCCAATTCTTTTTAAAAATAAATATAAAACAGTCCACCGTAGCTGTCGCCCCTCCCAGTAGCACTGCGACTGGATAAAATTATTGATTCCATTCAAAACATAGGACATTCAAATAGTACTGTTCGAATATATACTGTACCCGTAAGTGAAAATTACAAAATCCTAAAAAAATACACAAGGCCAATAATTACACCATGGAGGTATAATTACACTGTGTATATCAATGTAAAGTAAAGATGTACAGTCTGTCTTGGTCAGAGCAGTCTATCGATTAAAGACGATTATAGTGTGCTGCACTTCAGAAAACTGCAGCACTAATTGTCGACCCTACAGTGGAATGTATCTCTCGTCATCACTAGCCTAGGTCGCGGTGGTTGAATGGATCTAAGTTTTTCTAGCCTGCCTTAAGCTGGCAAGAAGGTAAGTCTACTCCCTGGTCTACTCTATCCTACACTAAGCCCAATCGTCTGTCACTGTCAGCACTAGGAATCTCTGTTCGCAAATGACTTATATATCTTTTTCTCATCTTCTTTCCTTTTTTTGGTTTTCTTTAATTTCTTTTGTTTTTGTTTCGACATCCATGGTGTTTTGGCTTTTCATGTTTCTTTCCCGATCCTTCTTTTCTGGCGGCCTTGCCTTGGTTTGATGACGTCAAAATTTACATTAGCCAGGAAGAGAAATAGATGTCGGCATATTTGCCGGCGCCGGCATAATAAACACTGCCTTCTTTTTTTAGTCTTTTATCAAATTGATAGGTTTAGGCCTAGATTTAGTCATAATTAACTAAAGTACGACTAAAATTCGTTTTAAGAATAGCCTACCGGGCCGGGGTTAGTTCATGAAGGAGTCCCAAATGTCTATGACTACGCCTATAATGTAGTACTAGAGTAGAGTGGAACTAAAGATACTGACGGTAAACATCAGCTAGAAAATGGCTGGTGGCCTTGTGCTGACACAGAGCCTAGCTTTTTGTTGGCAGGCCTAGCCTAGGCCTACATAACTCATTTACGTTGTCCCACCACCACGACAACTCACATTGTTTCAGTGTCACGTAAACAGCAGCAGATGTTCTAGCGCTTTGGTACATTAACGTCAGTTCTGTAAGAAACTAAAGAGACAGAAACAATCTTAACTAATTATTTTACAAGCTTAATAACTTCAAAATGAATAAGTATAACACAGGACATGACATTTTACACGAAATTATCGACACAAAACTCACCGTTTCATTCGCAAGGAGCACCATTTTGAAGAAGTTAACGAATGCTGTGAAAACCTACAGCTGATTGGAGTGCTTGCCTATACGAACGGGTTCCAACCAATGGGAAGAAGGCTTGTTTGTATTGTTAGCAGCTTGGCCATGCTTTTATGACAAATTGTTCACTGATGTACTTGCGTGAGGAGGTTGAGGTACTGACATAAATTTTGATATATTTTTTATCTACAATGGCTAGTAACTCAAATAATATATCAGAAGCTGAAGCTGCATTATACGACAGGCAAATTCGTCTATGGGGCCTAGAGGCTCAGAAGCGGTAAGTGATTCAATCTTTGTTTTAAGCGTGCGTAAGATCTCTAGGCCAAGGCTGAAGCCTACTGTAGTACTGAGTACATACTACGAATCCGATTTCAGTGACGCGGACACAGGCTTTACTATGGGTAACCCATCAATAGAGGAAGTGATCCTGCTTTTCATTTCGAATTTTGTATAATTCAATTGTGTTTGAATATTAATTTTGCTTAATAAATGTAGTCTTGTAAGTTCTATATTGTTATGAAAAAAATCATTTCAAGTCCATGGTGTAGAATAGCCTAAATATAGCCTAAATAATACTGTAAATACAGTTTGAAGAAAGTGGCCACACAAACACAAGCCAAAGCGGCCGCACTCAAAGTTTATTGAAACCCAGTAGCGCTATTGTTGATTGGGATACAGTATACTCTACTGCTTTGTGAATCCATAAAGTGCTTTTTGCTATCATTTTCATTTTTATTACATATATTCTAATTATATTATTATTACATAAATTAATATAAGAACTACAGTACAGTACATTACCGTACAATGATGAATTATAATTATATTATTACAGGGCCAATTTTAAGTACTACCGGGAGTACTACATACAGGTGGTAGGGCAAAGTACCAAAATCTGGGCATGTCTAGTTGGTGGCCTTACCACGGAAGTGGGCTGTGTAGGCCCTTAAATATATTAATACGAAATTACATTGCACAAGACTTAATTAAAATAACTTCCCAAATCCTCCTTTTTCAAATTATTAAGACTTTGATACATTATTGTTCTTTTGTTGGATCGATTGTAGCAACCCCAAGCCGAATAGAATCCCCTACATATAACTGCTAACTTCCTATCCTATTAAATTAATTTTTGGCTGGTCAATATTATTGTTTTGATTACAACAGGGCCATTATAGGCTTACTGTACCCATGGAGGAATTCCTCCATGCCGTACCTAGGTAGGCTAGGCCACCCTATATAGGCCTAGTACTGCAATACATGTTTCATGAACCAGGATTACAGTATGCCATCATTCAATGAATGGTCATGAAAGAGTTCATTCATGCACCACAATGGAGGATGGAGATTGTCCTTAAAGTTGTTTACAGCTACCTGATTTTCTTTATTCCATAAATAATGACCTTCTGTCCATCCAGGGTTGTACTGTACCTCCAGGGTTGTACTGTACCTCCATGACCAGTTAATGCCAAAAGTGTATGTACTGTACCTCAGCTCAAATGACACATTTATAAAATATTTTACTGTAAGATACGTCTATGGGGCTTTTTGGACCAGGGTTTCCATGGTCTTTTGCAGCTTTGGTCTCTAATATAAAAGAGTAATGATAAAAGACATTTGCTAATTGAGGACCACAAACAAGTGATCTGTAATTGGAGGTGGTCTTTGATTGGAGGGGTCTTTAATTACAGGAAGTTTATTGGTTTGAAGGGCCTTGGTGCTGAAGTTTCAATAACACTAATTTTGAAGCACGAAAAAACATGAAATACATCGCTTTAAAATCCAGAACTTTAACTGTAAACGCCCTTCATAGAGAAGATAACAATAGAAATACACGTTTCCGTGGTTACACTTGTATTAGATAGGGCAAAACATGCCCATTCGTGAAGAACGAATTCACCAACTGATTAAAAGTTCAACCTGGTTTAACAAGCAATAATACGGTTATAACACACAACAGAGGTTAATGATCATAATCAATGTCTGTATTAAGCTTATGTAAAATAATTAATAGACAAGAAAACAACACGTCGTATAGGCCATGGCAACAGACCCTACATTATACGGTCTGTATAGGCGAACAACTCAGGTAACAACTACTTTCCTGAACCATCGCACATGTTCGTACAGTTTCCATGTACAGAGATCAAGCCAGTCGGCTATTTTCAGCATTTCACATCCTTTCCTTGTCTCCGATGAAATTGAATTGGCGGCGTACAAAGACTTTGTCTCCGATAATATTCTTGAATTGGCGGGGTACAAAACTTTCTTTATTCTCCCAAGAGTATCATTGGAGAACTTGTAAGAACGTTTCTCACTGAATTAATTATTACTGTACTAGGCAACTTTGTACTGGCAAATTGATACCTATTTAAAGCAATGTATTTCCATTCATGCCTCGATTTAATTATTAATTAATTATTTAAATACGGTAACCAATCAATCACTTTTATCTGGAACGTATAATCGTCTTGCAATACAGTAGGTACGCTTGTTTAATCGTACATATATAATTATAATGCAGGATTAATTAATTATATTAT